TCAATGGAAGGACTGTCAAAGAACTTCTGGATGTGTCTGAAAACTGCTACAGGGGTTGTCCTGTCCTGGGTCATAGCAGTAGGTGTAGCAAGCGACCAGTCCAGATTAAAAGAGGCCAGAGGCTCTAGGAAGGGTTGACTTGTGGGGGTGACACTGATAAGAGTCCCTGATACATCTGGACATCTTGGAAAGAAATTTGTAGGGTAGTGGAAAGAGATTAAATTATTGATAAGTACAAACCAAACAAAATAATTGGTTGATTAACTTTTGGAAAAACAAAAATTTTATAAGGGAGAATTTCATGCTCAGCTGTGAATAGCATTTACATAGCAACAATAATGTAAACATTACTGATCTAACCATGAGTGTGATGTAACTTACATCGGGAAGATGAGGGATAAGAAGGGCATGGCATGCGGTGAGCTAGCTAAGGGTGAGGAAAGAGAGAATATCCATATCACCCATCCATAATTAATGCCTAAAACTGAAAAAAAAAATTAGCATGCCATCTGGAGCCACGGAAGTAGATTCCAAAATAATCAGCTAAAGGAGGAAAAAGTGTTTGTGATTGGGTGTGGGAAATGGCAGGGGTAGAGGCAGGGGAAGAGGGCAGGATTTCTATTTTTGAAATTTTGTAGAACTCTTTGCCTCTTTAAACTATGTGGTTATCCAACTTCGATGAAAATAGCTTAAAAAGAAAACTTTTTACTGAAAGAAACGCCATGCCCAGATCATTTTACAGGTATACACCATCAAACATTCAAGCTAATCCTGATCTTATATAAACTGTCAGAGACTACAAAAAGAAGGAACATACCCTCATTCTTAGGTAATGAGCCTGCTATGGTCTGAATGTTTGTGTCCCTCCAAAATTCGTATGTTGAAATCCTAACCCTCAAAGATGATGGTATTAGAAGGTGGGGCCTTGGGGAGGTGCTTAGGTCATGAGGGTGAAGCCTTCGTGAATGGGATTAGTGCCTTTCTGAAGAGGCTCTAGAGAGATCCCTTGCCCCTTCTGCCACTTGAGGACACAGTGAGAAGGTGCCAGCTGTGAATGGAAGAGGGCCCTCACCAAAACACAACCATGCTGGCATCTTGATCTTGGACTGTCCAGCCTCCAGAACTGTGAGAAATACATTCCTGTTGTTTATAAGTCACCCAGTTTTATGTCATTTTGGACTAAGAGCCTAATGTTACCTTGACACCAAAGCCAAATAAGGAGCTATGACAATGAAAGTCATAAGCCAGTTTTGCTTAAGAACATAAGCCCAGGAGGATGATGGCTGCCGTGGCCGTGGCTGTTCGCGAGGACTCGGGATCTGGGATGAAGGCGGAGCTTGTTCCTCGGCCTGGGGCAGCGGGGAGGGAGATGACCCAAGAAGAAAAGCTGCAGCTTTGGAAGGAAAAGAAACAACAGAAGAAGAAATGGAAGGAGGAAAAGGGGGCAGAACCAGAAACTGGCTCTGCTGTATCTGCAGCCCAATGTCAAGGCCTGACCAAAGACCTGCCTGGACTGGACAGTCAGTTGGGCAGTGCCAAGGAGAAAGTTCCAGCAGGTGGGAGTAAGGCTGAACTTCGAGCTGAAAGGCGGGCCAACCAGGAGGCTGAGGGGGCCCTGAAGCAGGCAAGAAAAGGGGACCAAGGAGGGCCACCTCCTCAGGCCTGCCCCAGCACAGCTGGAGAAACCCCCTCAGGAGTGAAGGGTCTACCCGAGCATAGTCAGGTTGATGACTCCACGCTTCTGAGGAGGCTTGTTAAAAAACCAGAACGACAGCAGGTTCCTACATGAAAGGATTGTGGACCCAAAGTCAGTCTCTTCTCCCACCTACCCCAGTACAGCAGACAGAACTCTCTGAGCCAGTTTATGAGCATCCCATCCTCTGTGACCCACCCAGCCATGGTGCGACTCGGCCTGCAGTACTCCTAGGGCCTGGTCAGTGGCTACCATGCCCAGTGCATTGCCCTGCTTCGTGCCTTGCAGCAGGTGATTCAGGACTACACCACACCTCCCAGTGAAGAACTGTCAAGGGACCTAGTGAATAAACAAAGCCCTACTTCAGCTTCCTGACTCAGTGCCGTCCCCTGTCAGCGAGCATGTACAACGCCATCAAGTTCCTTAACAAGGAGATCACAGGTGTGAGCGGCTCCAAGCGGGAAGAGGAGGCCAAGTCAGAACTTCGAGCAGCCATCGATCCATATGTGCAAGAGAAGATTGTGTTTGCAGCTCAGGCAATCTCACGCTTTGCTTATGAGAAGGTCAGTAATGGAGATGTGATCCTGGTATACGGATGCTCATCTCTGGTATCACGAATTCTTCAGGAGGCTTGGGCTAAGGGCGGGCGGTTTCGGGTGGTAGTGGTGGACAGCCGGCCACGGCTGGAGGGAAAGCACACGCTACGTTCTCTGGTCCGTGCTGGGGTCCCTGCCTCCTACCTGCTGATTCCTGCAGCTTCCTTTATGCTCCCAGAGGTTTCTAAGGTGTTGTTGGGAGCTCATGCACTCCTGGCCAATGGGTCTGTGATGTCACGGGTAGGGACAGCACAGCTGGCCCTGGTGGCACGGGCCCATAATGTGCCAGTGCTGGTCTGCTGTGAAACATACAAGTTTTGTGAGCGTGTGCAGACTGATGCGTTTGTCTCTAATGAGCTAGATGACCCTGACGATCTGCTGTGTGAGCGAGGAGAACGTGTGGCCCTGGCTGACTGGCAGAACCACTCGTCCCTACGGTTGTTGAATCTGGTCTATGATGTGATCCCCCCAGAACTGGTGGATCTGGTGATCACAGAGCTGGGCATGATCCCTTGCAGTTCTGTACCTGTTGTGCTGCAAGTCAAGAGTAGTGACCAGTGAGTGGGGGGACACAGGGTCAATAAATGACATACTCCCTACACTTAAAAAAAAAAAAAATAAGCCCAGTCTCATCCCCCAGCCTTTGGAGCTGTGAGAGGGCTTGTCTGTCCTGAGATGGGGAGCAGAATGGGATGCTGGCTGTGAGTGCTGGAGGCTAAGGAGTTGTGGTAGGAATAAAGATCTGTACCTTGTATGCCAGGGGCTTATTATGTTTCCTATAACTTCATTTTTGTTTTCTTTCCATATTTTGGTAAATTTAAGACATTTGAAAGAAAAAAAAAATAACATAGGTTCAGAAATACTAAGTAAAAAACCAAGCAAGAAGAAACGTGCGCGTGTGCGTGTGCACGCGCGCGCGCGCACACACACACACACACACACACACACACACACACACACACACATCCACTCCAGGAGCAAATTGAGTGTAACCCAGGAATGCAAGGGATGTCTTCACGGTGGCCCTTGAGTTGGCAGTTGGCTGCCCTGAGCCTGTCAATTTTTTCCTCCATGGCTTCCAGTGCTGTTAAGGAAAGCCAGCCCACTCCGCAATCCGTGTAATTACTGTCTTCCCAGACCTTGCAACCGCGCCGTAGCTACCACGTTTCAATGCCCGACCTCTACCTGCACCTCATTTCAGTCGACCATGGGTGAAAGCCTTAGTGATCTCAGGGGTCATCACACCCTACTTCCCACCAGCTAGAGTTCTGATCGCTGCCAGACTGGGGAGAAAGCCAACTCCAGAATCACATCCTAAGGGTCTGCTGTTTTAGGACCTTTCTGACGCAAAGTGTCATAGCCTGGGTTCCCCATAATGCGGAGTCTGAGGTGGTGAGATTTTGTGCTGTCATTTACAATTCCAGGGAGGAGTGAGGAAAGGGGATGGAAGGAGGCAGAGCCAGTACAAGAATTACTGAGCTGACTTCCAGAAAGTGCAGTTGATTATTTTGTCTTGTGAGACATCCCTTCATAAACTGCTGGATCCCGCCTCTTATTGCTTGGGGGTTTGCCTTGTGTGGCTGGGAGCAGGACTCTCTGGAGGCCTGCCTCAGTGGACATGAGGGGCAGCCACTGCCATGAACACCTCGATCCGTAATGACAGCAGTGGCTGCAGCTAGCCCTGAGTCTGGAGAATAGCAGCAGATTGAGGGTATGGTGCCAGGGCTGTCCCGTGCACGTGTGCAGACCTGAAGAGGCAAAACTGAGTTAGTATCCTTGCCATATGGAAAATAATTTAATCCCTACCTCCCTCCATAGCTGAAACAAAATACTTTCCAGCAAAGATCTCAAGCAAAAATTTAAGAAGAAAATATAGGAGATATAGAAAGATTTCTTGAAACTGAAGTATAAACCTTGAACAAAATGTTGATAAATTTTATATTAAAATTTTAGAAACTGTACACCAAAAGGTAATACAAGTTATAAACTTATACAAGTTATATATTGGGTTGGCCAAAAAGTTCATTCGGGGTTTTCTGTTACATCTTACAGAAAACTGAACCCAATACTTATACTTTATAAGGTATAACACCTACCTTATAAAGAATTAGTACCCAGAATATATAAAGAATTCCTACAAATCAATACGAAAAAGACAAAGTACCCAATGGCAAATTGGCACTGCGAACAGACACATCACACAAGAGGAAACCCAAATAGCAAATAAACATACGAAAAGATGCTCATCATCATTAATAACAGAGAAATAAAAACTAAAACTATAATATGGGTCTCTCCACACTTGGGTCTGGTTCACAGGTAGATTGAGGCAATATGTTGTACTGGCCAAAAATGGATTTAAATGTTGATTTAGGCATACATACCTATGAAGACATGCTTCAAATTTATGGAGCTGTTTTCTGGTTGGAGGCTGGGGCAGGGCTTCATCTGTACTTTTAATGTTTTACTTCTTAAACTTTTAATGTTTTACTTCTTAAGCTGGGTGATGGAAACACGGCTTGTCATGTTATAATTTATACGTTTTTCCCAGTGTAATAGTGCATGAAATAGAAGGCAAAGTGTGTGCATGTATGGAGTTCCTCTTCCGTGCCAGGTTCATTACATTTATCCCCCCATCCCCTTCCCATATTATTCAGTGAACCCCAGACTTCATAGCCTTTGTCCACACACGTCGCTTTGCCTTTGAACAGATGGTGATCTCACTGCAGAACACCACGTCCACCAGCCGCCACCTGCGAGTCCTCCCGCCGTCCACGCCCTACTTCGCTCTGGGATTGGGTGAGCTCAGGGTGGCAGAGGCCTGGGTGGCCTCGACATCGTGTACTGGCCTTGCCCCGGGTTACACGCCCACCAGGCCCTAGGGTGACTCCACAGCTGCACCCCTCGTGCTCCGCAGAGGCCTCCTACCCACCCTCCACCAAAGGCCCCCAGTCCCGACAGCTCCTCCTCGGATCTCGTCCCTCCAGGCTTGGTTCTGCCCTCTCCTCGCCCTGCGCACTGTCACTGCCCTCAGCCAGGACCCCTGGTTCCTCACTTAGGCCATCGCAGTGGCTTCCCAGCCAGGCTTCCTTCCTCCGTGACGCAGTGTTCTCCTGAAGAACAGCTCTGATCTTGTGTCCCACCCACCCCAACCCCTGCAGAAACCTCAAATACCTCTCTGCTGCCCACAAAATAAATGCTAAGCCATAGGAACAGGCATGGCCCCACCTGACCATTCCAGGTGGACCCTATCACTCCCCCCGCTGCCCCAGGCCCTGGTCTTCTTACCTGGTCTCCAGAATCTCATCTGTCGCTTTTGTCACCCACAGGGATGTTCCCAGGAAAAGGTGGAATGGTGGCTCCTGGAATGACCTGCCAGTACACTGTCCAGTTTTTTCCCGACTGCCTTGGGGATTTTGATGACTTTATTTTAGTGGAGACCCAGTCAGCGCACACGCTGCTGATCCCCCTGCAGGCCTGGAGGCCGCCCCCAGTGCTGACGCGTGAGTGTGCTCTGCTCCCCCGGGATTCAGGGAGGGCTGGTGCCCCTATAAGGACCGCCTGCCCACAGGGCCCCTTCATGGCAGCACACAGCCTGTCCCCTGGGACAGGGGCTTCTGGGTCCAGAAGCTTGCCCACAGTCCTCGTGTGTCAGGCCCTGGCCATCCTGCTTCCCGTGGAGGCTGACTCCGAGTGACACGCATCGGGAGAGGAGGCCAGCATCCCAGCTGACCCCAGCCTAGGCGTCGCTGGCTCAGGGACACCCTGAGTGGGCCTGTGCCATGGCGAGGCAAGAAGGAGTGCCTGGAGCCCTCCATGGGTGTCACCTGTGTGGCCATGGGGTGGCTGGCTTTGCCTGGACGCCCTCATTTACGAGTCCCTTCAGCTGGGCACAGGCTGCAAGCTGGGACTCTGACCACAACCCCCAGGGCCATGCCGGGTGGCACTGGCTGAAGCCCGAGCGCGTGGAGTCCCGAGGCGCCGCTGCCATGTGGGAGCAGGGGTGGGCCCATCCCCATCCATCCCCCTCGCCCCTCCACAGCTGCTCTTAGCTCGGGCTGGGCCTCTGGAGAGCAACAACAGGACTGTGCTGTTTCTCTTGCCCATCTTTCCTTGTGGCTGCAGTGTCGCCGGTGTTGGACTGTGGTTACTGCCTCATTGGGGGCATGAAGATGACCAGATTCATCTGCAAAAACGTGGGCTTCAGCGTGGGCAAGTTCTGCATTATGCCTAAGAAGAGCTGGCCGCCGCCAAGCTTCAGAGTGAGTGCTCACAGATTGCTACCTGGAAAAAGATCAAATCCATCAAAGGAAATAACCCCTGTGAGGGACTTGCTCGAGTGCACCTGTGACTGGAAACACACACACAGAGAACAGAATTTTATAACCTCTCTCTCCAGCTGCCATGGTCCAATGAGAATCAACATGTACAGAGACCAGCGCTGTAGTTCTTGTTACTCCCCTAATACCTGTGTGACCCTGGGCAGGTCCTGTCACCTCTCTTATCCTCCAAGGCCTGGCTCAAATGTCCCTGCATTCATTCATTCATTCATTCATTATAGTAGCAAATGTTTGAGTATAGCAGAGGTCACAGATTGGCAGCTCTTTGGCTGAATTTTGTGGGTATATTTATTTGGCACAGGGCTTAAAAACATTTTTTGAGCCACCATTTAAAAATAGAGAGATTTCGGACTTCCCTGGTGGCCCAGCGGCTAAGACTTCACGCTCCCAGTGCAGGGGGGCCGGGTTCAATCCCTGGTCAGGGAACAAGATCCCACGTGCTGCAACTAAGACCCAGCACAGCCAACCAACCAACCAACCAAATAAATAAATAAATATTTTTTTAAAAAATAGACTTCGTATAAAAATGTGCACTTCCAGTCTCTCTGAAACATTGGGAGATGTGCAGCCCTGGGCCAGGATCCACTGTGGCCTGTCAGCTGGAGTTGAGAAGCAGGGGGTGTGCACATCCCCTCCTGTTTGCCCAGCTCTGCCCTCCCCGCCCCAGGGCAGCCAAGTGCTGACACCGCTGATGGTCATGCTCACTCACAGTGTTACCTGACTCAGTGTAGAGATATTTTGCTGTACCTGTGTCTCCCGAAACAAGCGACAGATCCAGAGGACCACATGTTCCCAGACACACATTTCACTCATTTCTGTTACCTGCCAGGGTCCTGGAGGCGTGGGTTTGTGTCCATGGCATGCTAAGTGGCTTCCTGTTGTGGGCACCTGGGCTGCAGCTCTGCTGACAAGATGGCAGCTTCCCTTGACTCAGGTGCACATGGCCAGGGGTGGGTTGAGGATGGAGGCCGACACAGAAGCCGGCACCAACCACACAGGCTGCTGTAGTAGGGAAAGGACTGTGCTTTGGGAGCCCACCTCCTGCTTTGCGTCTGAAACACTTGTCAGTGGCCTCGTACCTCCTACCCGCGGGCAGCTCTTCGTGGACGCTCCGTCTTGTACTCATCTTGAACCACCAGAACCCCATCTAGTGCCTGGTGCAGGTTGAGTAAGTGCTTGCTGAATGGATGAGCCTCCGTTTCTTCATGAACAGGAGACTGGATGATCCATTAAGACCCTTCAAATCACAAAATGGATGTTTGGAGGAGGGAAGTGTGTCATCTGAGCATGAGATTTTACAGTTTCTTCCACACTGTTGGGTCATCTTCTGCTTTTCTTTAAGGCTGTTGCAACCATCGGCTTTGTTGAGCAGCCCCCCTTTGGGATCCTGCCGTCAGTGTTTGAGCTGGCTCCGGGGCAGGCTGTATTCATGCAGGTAGGTGATGAGACGCTAGCTTGTATTTCTTTATGATTGGTTCGCTGTTTCCTCAACTGCTCGCTTGATTTCATTTGCCTCTCTGGTTTTTTGTTTTTTGGGGCTTTTGGGGGTTTTTTTTGGCTGCCCCACACAGCTTGTGGGATCTTTAGCTCCCGGACTAGGGGTTGAACCTGGGCCACCGCAGTGAAAGCACTGAGTCCTAACCACTGGACCGCCAGGGAATTCCCGCCTCTGTGTTTCCATGACCCAGATATCCACTCCCAGGTCCCAGCCTTGGTGGCTTCTGTGTAGGAGCATGCTGTTGCATTCTGTGGGGTGATGTCATTTGACTGTCCTATGACCTCCCTCACAGAGCAAGTGCAGAAAGCCCTAGCAATGCCACCATGATCCCTGAGTTTTGCTTGTCCACCCGTGAGCCTGCGGGTCACCTCTACTAACATCTGAGCTGCCTCCAGGATCTCCCCTCAGTCCTTCAGTCCATCTTGGACCATCCCACCCCCTAAATCTGGTACCTTTGTTCCTCTTTCCTGTTTTATCCTCAGTTATATGGTCAACAAGGCCCGCCTTCCTTAGGCCTCATCCTGAACCTCTGCAGAAGCTCCCAGAGTCTGACCTCTGGGATGTGGGCTCCTCCTTTCCTAACTGGCCCCTTTCCGGGGTCCCTTGGGCCTGTCACACCTGCTCACTGGTCCCCAGAAGAGGCTGTGAGACATGGTGATGTCTTCCTGCCCCTGTCACCCCACCCTCTGCTCCAGGAGTCTGACTCTGTGCTGTCCCATGGCTGGGTGTGGGGCTGCCACAAGCGAGCATGGCCTTCCTCACTTGCCTGTTGAAGGACACACCGACATTAAAGAGTAAAAGCTATCTGGGTTCTGGGGAGGGGGATTTGGCCTACATCAGGTCATCAGGTAGTGAGAGCCAAGAGCCATAGGTTCTCAAACTCAGCTGCACATGGCCGTCCCCTGAGAAACTTGCAAACACGCTGACATCTGGGCCCCAGCCCTGAGGTTTTGAGTTAATTGGTCTGGGCTGTGGCCTGGGCATAGGATTTTTCAAGCTCCCCAGGTGATTCTGTGTGTGCAGCGAAGTTTGAGGACCGCTGCCATAAGCTTCTTTGCCAAGATGTAAAGGAAGGCTTCCTTTATCAGTTCCTTTCCAGTTTCAAGGGTCTGATGGGGTCTTGTTTGGGAGTGATGCTGTCTTGTTCATGTCCGTGATGATCTGATCCTGATAAGAACCTGGCTTTTGGAGTCGGGACGAGGCCAGTTCAGGAGCACAATAGGGATTATCCATCCTCGTCTGTTGCCGAGGGGTGAGCCAGGTCCTCTTGGCATAGCCCAGGATTTGTCAGAGCCTTGTGGTGGCTTTAAGGAATTGGGGCTGGTCACCCCTGCCCAGGCCATGATGTCCCCCTCATCCCATCCTCCTATGATCCCCAAGGAAAAGAAGAGGGTGGCAGCAGCAGTCTTTGGGGAGCAGTGGGGGAGTCAGGGCGAGGTTTTCCCCTTTGCATTCCTTATGTAAATTTTGTTTACTGATTGGGATTTTGTTTGTTTTAAAATTGATTCGTATTTCCAAATAAATAGATTCACATGATTAAAAATTCAAAAGACGCAAATAGATGCACAATGAAATGCTCCCTCTCCCCCCAGTTCCTCAGCCACCCAGAGGCCACAGCCTTACCAGGTTAGAGTGCCCTCCCAGAGATATGTGATGCCTACCTAAGCAACTGCACATGGTTTTTTCTTTCCTTTGTTTCCATTTTTCCTTCACACAAATAGTTGCCCACTCTGTGCTCTGTTCTGCCCCATGTATTTTCCACTTACCGGTTCATATTTTTTATAGCTGCATAATATTCCACCGGACATATGAACCATAATTTAGGTCAACTGCCCCCTGCACGAAGATTATTTCTGATCTCTGGCCATCTCAGGGAATAGCTTATACATACATCACTCTGTCCTACCAGAAGGATACAGTCCTTGACGTGCATTTGCTGACTCAGGGTCTCTGCTCTCATAATTGTGATACATGTCGCCAGAATCCCCACCATGTGGATTGTATCAATTTGTACTTCCATCCACAGTATGTGAGCGTGCCTATTTTAATTCTCATACCTTTGCCAATACAATGGGTTATCAAACTTAAAAAAAAAAACTGTTGTCATGGACATTTTAAAACATATACAAAAATAATCTGAAAAAGAATAGATATACATATATGTGTATAACTGAATGACTTTGCTGAATACCTGAAACTAACATAACATTGTAAATCAACTATACTTTAATTAAAAAAAAAAAAGGTCAGAAGTCCAACTGGCCAAGCAAAAACAAAAACAAAAAAACCCCAAAACAAACCTATATGCAAAAATAGAATAGTTGAATGATCACCCATGTACTCATGACACAGCTTCAACATTTATCAACTCTTGGCCAACCTTATTTCCTTTGTGCCCCTCCGTCTCTTTCCACCAAGCCCTGCCCTGCCCCTCTAGATTATTTTGAAGAAAATTAACGTAACCTATCACTGTGTTTATGACCGCTAACTTTCTGCTCTTTGCCAGTAGGAGGCATGAAAAACTGTTCTTCTGGGTGGTTTGCATTTCCACTTCTTTTATCATGAATGAGGTTAAACATGTTATTTAAGAGCCATTTGTATTTCAGTCTCTATGAATTCTCTCTTCATAGCCTTTCAACACACTCCCCAAATTAGCTGGTGGAGCCTGGGCTGAACCCCTAGCCTTAGGGAAGGGGCTGGGAGGGGAGGGAGAAGTGGAGACCGGAGGGAAGGGGGTGCAGCTGAGAAGAAGAGGGCGAGGGGGTAGAAGCCCCTTCACGGGAGACAGCGGGACAGCCCTTCTTTCCCCAGGTCCTGTTCCTCCCAACCAGCCTGGGAAAGGCAGAGCAGACCTTCATCATCGTGTGTGACAACTGCCAGATAAAGGAGCTGGTGACCACAGGTGGGCTTGGGTGCGCTCCCAGGGGTGGCCCAGCTGCGCCCGGTCCCCCTTGGGGGTGGGCACACTCGGGATGCTGCAGCCTCCAGGGCTCTGGTTTGGGGCCTCTAGCTCTGGTCAGACCTTAGAGACCCAAGCCAGCGTGGGCTTCGGGACTGTCCCAAGGAGCCGTCTAGTGCGAGAGGGATGGAAACCTGGGGGGCAATCTTTTATCGAGTCACTTTGAAACTCACTGTGATCTCCTTTGGGGGACTGCCAGTGACTCACACAGAAACGACCAGGGCACCTGTAGGTTCCTGTACAGTTAGAAGGGGCATCCTGCTGAATTTCCTTAAGGTGCCCTGTTCCTTCCTTCCATCCGTCTGTCTACCATCCACCCAGTTTCACTCACCAGGTATTAATTGAATGCCTGCTACATGCTATGTTATCAGAATCACCTTCTTTTGGTCTGAGGTGATGTGGGGACATGAACCTGTGTGCTGTTGGCTCCCTGTCCCCCTGTGTGCACTTCCCGGGGTCACGATCACGGCCGGTTGCATGTGGATGGTGGCCTGGGTCCTGTGACAGCCTTCGGCCACAGAGTCCTGGTTTCAGCCCTAGTGAAACTTCACTACTGTACTTTGTCAGGAATCGGGCAGCTGGTGGCTCTGGATCTGATCTATGTTTCTGGTGAAAAAAGTCAGCCGGAGCCCGGAGAGCTCACAGACTTAACAGCCCAGCACTTCATACGCTTTGAGCCTGGAAACCTTCAGTCCACGGCCAGCAAACTGCTGATTATTAGAAACGCCACGTGAGTGACGCCTGTGAGGGACCCCAGCACACACCCTCCCTCCTTCCTCACCTGGCCTGAGGTCCCAGTGAGGCTGGTGGTTCCTTCCAGAGGCCAGGGGGGAATCTGGGCACAGGATGGAAGGATCCAGATTTGCACTGTCCATCATGGTAGCCAGTTGCCACATGTGACTATTTAAATGGAAATCAATTAAAATTAAGTAAAAGTAAAAACTCACTTCCTCAGTGACACCAGCCACATTTTAAGTACTCAGTAGCCACACGGGTAGAGCCGATTTATGAGATGTCATATTGGACAGTGTTGCTGTAGATCCTTTGGAGCATCCTTAACCAGGAATAGTTTTCCTGAGAGGTCCTGCCCAGCCCATGAGGGGAAGCCACCCAAGTCCCAACGTCAGACAGATGATGGCCTGTGGGTTCAGCTCTCACTGCCATTTATTCCCTGACCATCCTCTGAGCTCTGTCATTACACCAGGACAGACTTTAGGGAGCCTCCCGGCCATGCTGCCCAAGTGACCCAGGCCTTACACAGGCTCTGTCGCCTGGCAGGATGAGTAGCCCTCACCTGCCGTCCCCCTCACCGACACCTGCTGTCAGCAGGACGCCTGGAGTCCTACCCCTTCCACCACCAGGGAGTTGTCACCGCTCCTGTTGGCAGCCAGTGGGCACATATCTTTCTGGCCAGAGCAGTAGTCCTGGGAGGCCATAGCTGGAGAGGCAGAGGGTGGGGTCAATGTGGCGAAAACTCACGCAGTAGAAGATAAGGCAGAAAATTTTCCTGATATCTGGGGGGGGGGGGTTGCCTGATAGTTAGAGCATGATTCCCCCGAGTCACTGTGGCTCCAGCCTCCAGCTGCTGTGCGGGGCTGTGCTGGGAGGTCTCCAGACTCCCTGCCCCCCGTGCTGTCACTTGCCCAGGGGCCCCCAGGCTCCTCCATGGGAAGGGCCTGAAGGCTGACCTGGCCACGTCCTGCTCCTGGGTCGTTTCCTGCTCACTCCGGGAGCAGGGCCAGGCCAGGCCGGGGGTTGGGGGAGCTGATTCTTGCAGAAGTGGGACATGGCCTTGGGCCCACTGCCTACTGTCAAGGTCGTCCCCACAGGCACGTGGAGCTGGCCTTCCGCTGGCAGATCGTGAAGCCCAACCTGAGGCCCCTAATACCTGGAGAAACCTACAGCCTGGACAGCATCAAGTCCCACCCCGACAGGGAGACGGCATTCTCCATCACCCCCGACATGGGAGCTCTCAAGCCCCACACGGACCACGAGTTCCTCTTGAGCTTCTCTCCTCGAGAGGTTCGAGTGCGGCCATCTTGGTGGTCACACATGATTGGGTCACGATGTTTTCACCCTCTGTCCCTGTTCTTTGGTGACACTGAAGCCACGGCCGACGCTGCCGAGATCCCTAGCATCCTGCCGAGGCTGGCGCTTAGCTAAGAGCGGGGCCAGTGGCCGGGTTTGGTGTCCAGCTCGTTTTGCCTGGTCCCGACCCTGCACGCCCCATCTGCAGCCAGGGCCTGGGCTCGTTTCCTCGGCCCTGGTGTCTTCCGTGTCTCTACTACATCAAAGGTGTTACCATTCCTGCCCAGCCCACAGAAGCCCCCAGAAAGAGGGAGGTGGGGCTCCCCAGAGTGAGGCTCACACGGCCCCAACTTTCCAACACCAAGCCGTGTGTGTCCCGGGCGAGGGGGGAGTGTGAGGGGGATGCCCAGGGACCCTTGCTGGTAAGAGAGCAGGCCTGCCTCTCAGCACGCAGCCATCTCACGGCCTCTCCTGGGAGGGTGTGGTGCTTCAGGCACACTGAGGGCACTGCCAAGCGAAGCAGCGCTGTGTCTCGTGGAAGACATCTCTGGGGGCCAGGCCACCGGGAGGAGGGATGCCTGCCGTGGCTCCAGCCTGCCCTGGGGCAGGCTTTTGTCTTCAGGGTGCTGTGTTTGCCTTGCAGCACAGGGATTTTCACAGCGTGCTCCAGATGGTGCTAGAGGAAGTCCCAGAGCCCATGAGGTGAGCGGGAACCGGGCCCCTGGCTGAGGGGTACGCAGTTGGGCATGCTGGGGCGGAGTGAAGGAGCCCCTGACCCCCGGCAGGCTTTGGCGCGTGGGAGCGCCTTGCCTTGCCCTGGCACCCAGGCCTGGAGCGGGCTCCACAAGCAGGGAACAGCTCTCTGGACTTACTATCCTGGAACCTGGGAGCTGTGCCCCGGGCCCACGGTTACCGCCGGGCCTCTAGGCTGGTGGCCCCTGGCTGGTGGCAACTAATGAGGGGAGGTTTTGTCCCAAGGCGTCACCTCTGCCAGTGCTTCCCTGAGCAAGCTGTCGGTGGGGGGCCTCCAGTCAGCTGGTGTGGAGATCCTGGCCGACGCTGCTGCAGGGTGGTCCCTGGAGGTGCAGGGAGGGACCCCCGCCCCAGGCCTGTGGTTGAGCTGCCGTCCCAGCCACAGGCATTCATCTGTTTCAGGGCATTGCTGACGCCTCTGATTTCAGGGGGCTTGGGAGCTGTGGGCAGGGGGCGCTTTCTTTTCACAAGACAGAGATAGGGGACGCGATGGCTCCTAGCTCATGGTGGCTTTGTGTCCAGCTTGCACTTGGAAAACCCGAAGGATCCCTCGTACTCTGTGGATGACGTGATTGTCCTGGAAATCGAGGTGAAAGGCTCAGTGGAACCTTTCCAGGTTCTCTTAGAACCATATGCCCTCATCATCCCCGGGGAGAACTACGTTGGGATGAATGTGAAGAAGGATTTCAAGGTAGGTGGTTGTCCCTCCCCAGCCTAGGCTGCCCGAGATGGTGCTGAACTCAGGCACGAGCATGGGGAGGAAGCAGCTGGCGGGGCCAGCAGTGGTGGCCACTGCAGAGAAGCTGAGGCTCTTCCCAGAGCCCCGGAACCCACTTGGTTTGAACAGACGCTGGGCCGGGCACGTCTGTCATTTGTCAGCTTCCCAGCATCCTCCAAACGACAGGACTGTGGCACCCGTTCCTGGGTTTAGGGATCTTTGACTGGCTGTGGCACCCACAAACCCTGCAGTGTGCGTTGGTGCCATCGGGTGGCTGGGATTTAGCTGGGAAGGTGTCGAGAGGACCTCTTGTGAGCCCACAATCCCGCAGTCCTTTAGCAAGTACAGATCTGACGGGGACCCCGGCTTGGGGTGTGTCTTTCAGATGTGGAACAACAGCAGATCTGCCATCAGGTACACGTGGGGGAAGATCAGCGACTGCCACATCGTTGAAGTGGAGCCCTGCACGGGGACCATCGGTACTGCAGGGGCCGAGGTGGGGGCTGGCTGGGGAAGGAGAGCTCGAGGTGAAAGGGGCCTGTGCAGGGGTCCATGGCCCCCTGATCAGCTCCAGCCGCAGCCTGGCCCTGTGGTGGGTAAGGAGTACACCGAGGCCAGGTATCTGAGCCCGGCCACAGAGGGGACCTGCCCCTGCTTCCTTTCTCCACGGCTCACCTTTCCTCTCCCTCTCTCAGAGCCCAGCGAGGTGGAGGATTTTCAGTTGAACTTTACCGGGGGTGTCCCCGGCCCGACGAGCCAGAGCCTGCTGTGTGAAATCAAAGACTCCCCCTCACCGGTGGTCTTACACGTGGAGGCGGCCTTTAAGGTGCCTCTGGTGGTGCTGGGTGGCTGGGTGGGCTGGACGGGGAGCTGGGGTAGGGCACAGAGCCCACGGCCCGGGTGGCCCGGTGACTGGCCCCTCTGGGTGCCTCAGGGGCCTGCCCTCGTCATCGACGTCTCAGCCCTTCAGTTTGGTTTGCTGCGCCTGGGGCAGAGAGCCACCAACTCCATCCAGATCCGGAACGTCAGCCAGCTCCCGGCCACGTGGTCCATGGAGGAGAGCAGGGTCTGCCTGCAAGAAAGGCAAGAGGGCGTAAGTCCTGTGATGCTGGCTCGTGGTGCCACCCCGACCCCCGACCCCCACCGGAGCCGAGTAACCCACGTGTTGTGTGAGCCGTGGAACTGTTGCTGGTGCCTTCAGAGTGTGGAGGCTGGAGAGGAAACGCCTGCCTGGTGACCTTTGCCTCGCAGAGTCCCCCATCCCCTGTCTCTAGGCAGTCGGGGTCCTTTCTACAGCAGAACTTAACCCCGAACTGGATTTTCCTGTTCCTTTCAGAGCAGCCAGAGTCAGGAAGAAAACAGGCAGCTGAGTTGGGCGGGAAGCTTCCAAAAGGCCCCCGGGGAGGGGCAGGCCGCGGGGCTCCCTGCAGAGGTTCCCAGCCTGCTTGCAGTTTTGAGTACCTGCCACCAGGTGGTGAGCTTGCCGTATTTTTGGCTGTGTTGGGTCTTCGTTGCTGCGCGCTGGGCTTTCTCTAGTTGCTGCGAGCGGGGGCCACCTCTTCGTAGCGGTGTGCGGACTTCACATTGCGAATGCATTGCGGTGGCTTCTCTTGTTGCAGAGCATGGGCTCTAGGCATGTGGGCTTCAGTAGTTGTGGCACATGGGCTCAGAAGTTGTGGCACGCGGGCTCAGTAGTTGTGGCACGCGGGCTCTAGAGCGCAGGCTTAGTAGTTGTGGCGCTCGGGTTTAGTTGCTCTGCAGGGATCAAACCCGTGTCCCCTGCACTGACAAGTAGATTCTTAACCACTGTGCCATCAGGGAAGCCCATGGCATCATGTTTAAATACCATGTTTGGGGAATTCTCTGGTGGTCCAGTGGTTAGGAATCAGGTGCTTTCACTGCCGGGGCCTGGGTTTGATCCCTGGTCAGGGAACTAGGATCCCGCAAGCTGCGTGGCACAGCCCTCCCCCCCCAAAAAATATATATATATTCAATCTTTTTTTTTAAATTTTTACTTATTTATTTATGGTTGTGTTGGGTCTTTGTTTCTGTGCAAGGGCTTTCTCTAGTTGCGGCAAGCAGGGGCCACTCTTCATCGCGATGCGCGGCCTCTCTTGTTGCGGAGCACAGGCTCTAGACGCGCAGGCTCAGTAATTGTGGCTCACGGGCCTAGTTGCTCCGCGGCATGTGGGATCTTCCCAGACCAGGGCTCGAACCCGTGTCCCCTGCATTGGCAGGCAGATTCCCAACAACTGCGCCACCAGGGAAGCCCTATGTTCAATCGTGAACAAGCCCAAGCCACACCAGCAGGCAGCTAGCTATAAACCACTGGCTCACCAGGCCCACCCTTCCCACGTGGTGACTGTAGCTCCATCGGAGCAGCTGCTGCACGTACGAGACTCTGGCCAGGTCTGTCTGGTGAAAGCACCCTCCCTCCCCAGGTCCCCCATCCCGCTGCCCACTTCTCCTGTTGGTCAGAGGGCCGCACACTTTTCCTTCCACATTCAGGAGCTGAGGAAAGAGAGTCACAGCCACACATACATCTTATTTGCCAATGCACCTTCCCTTCTCCAGGACTTTTCCTTTCCACTTGAAAGCCATTCTCCTTTACCTGGCGGCCTCGCTTCTCCACTAGGCACCCTGAAACTTAGAAGTTATGACAGTTTGCATCGAATTGGCCAACACCATTGCCAAGGAACATTGCCATGTGGTCTGTTCCACAGGCTTGGAGTTAGCACTGGCCCCCCCAGGGCTCACTGGTCACGCTGCTTGGACCATGGAACCACAGAGGCTGGTGCTGGGACTGCGGGCAGGGTGCTCAGTAACCTTTTCTTCAAATGAAACCCTCAACAGAAGCCCAAGATCTAGAATAGAGTATGACTGTTCTTGGCTCCCAGAGGCCCCCTCGTCAAGCACCCCTGACCCACCCTGCCACTCCCCACATCCCACTTCCCTGCTCTAGGACTTCTGAGCAACCCCTGGGATTTCCCAGAGTGAAGTTGGAAACTTATGGACCTCAGCCAACCTTGTCACTTGATAGAGGAGAAACAGGGAGGGACAGGGGCCTCCCTGGGGCCACACAGCTAATAGGTGGCAGAATCGTATCAGATCCAAGTTCTCTGATTCCCAGTCTGTGTTTTTCTCCCCTTGTGAAGAATAACTACATTTTACAGTTGAAGTAATTGTCAGTTTCACAGTACATTAAGATTTATGTCCTAATCGAAGCTGGTAGCAGTCCTGTCTCTACAGTTCTCGGCGCTGTGTTCTTGTGAGCTCTCAAAAATAATGTTGAGATTTGGGGTTTGTAGATGTCCCCAGGCCAGGGGACCCAGAAACCCAGACCCAGACCATAGCCCCCCCCCCCCCCCCCCCCACACACACCGGGCTCCAAAGGAGAGGCACGTGAGGAACAACGAGCAAAGAAAGCAAAGGGGCTCTTTCCTTACCAGCAGAGCTTGGGCCCAAAGCTTGGACAAGCCAGGCCAGAGCATGCCAGCCACGTTTCCTGAGACGTAGGCCAGCCCACCCTCCCTCCAGTGCCAGGGCGGTGGAACCTCTGAAGTGAGAGGTTACAGGGCCCAAGATAGCACAGCACGGCGGCCAGGGTGGAGGTGGGGTGGGACCGGGCAGGAGCGGCCAGGTCTCCCTCCAGGCAGGCGCCTTGCACTCCTTCATGGCCTTGGTCTCAAGGAAGGAAGAGACCAAAGAGGAGTAACCTCCCTCCTGGTTGTAAGCTTTCAACATCCAGTGATACCCCGACTAGCCAGTGCGGCCCATCTGGGGCCCTGGGGCCGCGCAGTCAGGCTGGTGCTCCTGGCCTCAGCCTGGACAGGAAGAGGGGCACTCTTCTCCCCAAGCCTTTTCCTTTCCCTTTTAGTGCCTGGTATGGGGCAGGGGGTGGACATGTCGGGTGAGTGGGAACTAGCCTGCAGTGGGGCTGAGTGAGGTGAGGGTGTGACGGGGTGGGGAAGAGACCATGTGGGTGTGTTACTGAACCAAGCTTGGGTCCGCTTGCCCACGTGCAGTAAAGCCAATCTACGGACAGCAGGTTGTGGTGAAGGAAGGTGTAGTGTTTAAGGTGCCAGACAAGGAAACTTGGTGGCTCGTGCTCAAAAACCTCAAACTTCCTGAAGGGTTTCAGCAAAACATTTTTGAAGGCCAGGTGAGGGAGGTGGATCATAGCGTATGTGCTCAGTTCGTACACAGTTCTCTGCTTGGTGGATGGTGAGGTAACAGGGCGGTGTCACAGGGGTTAACGTTATCAATCCTCAGGCTCCCGTAGGTCCGGGGACTACGTGCTCATGGTCATCAAGTAGTTAATTTCTTCCATTTGGTGGTGGTTTTAGCGTCTGTAAAACAACTTAGGAAACGTGCAGCGGATACTGTCATCTAGGCGCTTCAGAGAGGAGCTACAGTAGAGGATATGGGGAGGGGTCTGTCCCAGGAAGGCACGGTTACAGGTGCAAAGGGCAAATCTGTGGCCACATGGAAGCTTGTCCCCTAGTTTGGGGGCTTGGTGGCTTTCCTTACTTGAAGCCGACAGTTCCTGACGCGCCTGCGCAGCAGGGCGGGCAGACCTCTCAGAGCCACCGCGCCGAGGGCGACTCCCTCTGCCTTCCACCTCCTTTCCTTGGAGACTCAGTTTTCACCCTCTTCATCCTGACCTCTTGCTCAGCTGTGTTCCCCCACCCGCTTGCCTCCTTCCGCATCCTAGAAGCGCTCGGGGGATGGGGGTGGGGGCAGCTTGGGGGCAACCCTGGTTGTTCATGGCCAGCACCCAGTTCTGCAGTTCCATGTGTCCCCACTCCTCGTCCTTTTCCCCATCAGGTGTCTCCCTTCATCATCGAGCCGTCCAGTGGCCAAGTTCAGCCGCTGGGGGAGTGCAGAGTGAGCATCACGTTGGAGGCCCGGCACTGCCAGTGTCTGCAGACTGTCCTGAAGCTGGAGGTGGTAAACGGGACCTGCAGGTAAGGAGGTGGGGAGGGAGCCAGTACGACACACTCTTTGCATATTCGTGGCATATTTATTTATATTGTGTGTAGTTACATATTTGTCTATAGACGTTTCAGAATTTAAAGGTCTTGATATGTGTTTATCGGCAATGTGGGATCTTCCCAGACCGGGGCACGAACCCGTGTCCCCTGCATCGGCAGGCGGACTCTCAACCACTGGGCCACCAGGGAAACCCCTCATATGTGTTTATTCTATGAAGTTTGGAAATTACAGAAAAGAAAATGATCCATAATCTATTACCTGGAGATCATTCACATTCACATAATATCACCCCAGTAATATTATGGGGTATATATATCCTTCTAGTGTATATATGCTAAAGGAATATACATTAATGCAACCACTTTGGACAACACTTTATTGTTACCTAATAAGGGTAACAATACCCTTGGTCCAGCATCAGTCCTTCTGGATATAATCCCAGAGAGACTTACACGTGTGCAGTGGGAGCCGTGTGCTCATGCTGGAAGGCTCATAGCTGGACTGTTCATGACAGTGAAAAACTGGAAACAGCCGACGTTCATCAACAGGAGAATGGATGCAAAATAACTGTGGCAGATTTTCTCTTTTATTGGAATGCAATTGACACGTCACTAAGTTTTAAGTTGTACAGCATACTGACCTGATTCATTTATATATTGCAGCACGATTTCCATTGTAGCGTTAGCTTACACCTCCATCACTTCACCTAATTATCATTTCATTTTTGTGGTGGGAATAATCAAGTCTCCCAGCAGATTTGATGTATATAATACAGTATTGGTATCCATAAGCACCATACTTCACATTAGATCTTCAGGACCCATTCACCTACTAGTTGCAAGTTTGTACCCTTAAACAGCATCTTTCCAGGTGCTGGGCACCCCCAGCCCCTGGTAACCACCATCCTACTCTCTGTTTCCACGAACTTGGCTTTTTTAGATTCTGCATGTAAGTGAGATATTACAGTATTTGTCTCTGTCTGACTTACCTCACTTGGCGTAATGTTCTCAAGGTCCATCCATGTTGTCGCAAATGGCAGGATTTCCTTCTTTCTCATGGCTGAGTAATGTTCCATTTTATGCATATACCATATCGTCTTCATCCATCAATCTGTTGACAGTTAGGGTGCTCCATACCTTGGCTGTTGTGAATAATGCAGTAAACACGGGGGTGCAAATATCTCTTTGATATCCTGTTTTCACTTCCTTTGAATATATACCCAGAAGTGGAATTGCTGGGTCAGGTAGTAGTTCTATTTTTAATATTTTGAGGAACCTTCATACTTTTTCTGTGGTGGCTGAACCAATTTATATTCCTACCAATGGTGTACAAGGGTTCCCTTTTCTCCACATCCTCACCAACACTTGTCATCTTTTGTCTTCTTGAAGATAGCTGCTCTAACAGGTGTGAGGTGATATCTCGTTGTGGGTTTTTTTTTTTTGCGGTATGCGGGCCTCTCACTGCTGTGGCCTCTCCCGTTGAGGAGCACAGGCTCCGGACGCGCAGGCTCAGCGGCCATGGCCCACGGGCCTAGCCGCTCCGCGGCGTGTGGGATCTTCCCAGACCGGGGCACGAACCCGTGTCCCCTGCATCGGCAGGCGGACTCTCAACCACTGGGCCACCAGAGGAGCCCCTCATTGTGGTTTTGATTTGCATTTCCCTGATGATTAGCGTTGCTGAGCATCTCTTCATGCACCTATTGGCCATTTGGATGTCTTCTTTGGAAAAATGTCTAGTTCCTCTGCCCATTTTTTAATTTGATTTGTTTGGCTTTTTGCTGTTTAGCTGTATGAGTTCTTTATATAATTTTGGATATTAACCCCTTATCAGATATGTGTTATTGCTGACTGAAAAAACAAAAAGCACAACCTAAAAGTTGAGAATTATGTTTTATTCTGGGACCTTACTGAGGACTATAGTCCAGAAAACAGCCTCTCAGATAGCTCTGAGGTAAGGGAGGAGCCAGAATATATGGGAGTTTTTGCTGAAAAAAAAACAAAACAAAAACAACATACAGGGGAACATCAAAAGATTACTGCTAATCACAAGAAACAGACATCTCAAGTTAATGATTTTAGTGCTTTTCTGTGTATGGGAAGATGCAAGATTCTGGGCTTATTGAAATCATTCCTTTAATATGCATTTTAACTACTGTATGGCTGGCACCCTGTCTCTCTCCATCCTGAATTCCCCTCAGGGTGCACTGGTGGAGGCAGGTGCAGTGACTGCTGGCTTGATGGTTGCAACATCCTTTGTTTACTGAAATGGCAGGCAGCATTCTTTGTCCACAGTGTGCAAATACTTTCTCCCATTTGGTAGGTTGTCTTTTCATTTTGTTCATTGCTTCTTTTGCTTTGCAGAAGCTTTTTAGTTTGATGTAGTCTCACTTTTTTTTTTAAAAATTATTTTATTTTGGCTGTGCTGGGTCTTCGTTGCAGCGCACTGGCTTCTCTGGTTGCGGTGTGCAGGCTTCTCTAGTTGTGGCGGGAGGGCTCTAGAGCACGGGCTCAGTAGTTGGCAGCACGCAGGCTTAGTTGCGGTATGTGGGATCTCAGTTCCCCGACCAGGGATTGAACCTGGGCCCCCTGCATTGGGAGCATGGAGTCTTAACCACTGGACCACCAGGGAAGTCCCCCTCACTTGTTTATTTTTGCTCGTATTGTTTTTTGTACTTCTGGTGTCAAATCCAAAGAAGCATCCCCAAGACTGATGTTGAGGAACTTCTTCCCTGTGTTTTCTTCTAGGTGTTTTATAGTATCAGATCTTATGTTTATGTCTTCGAGCCATTTCAAGGTAATTTTTGTGAGTGGTGTACAATAGGGGTTCAATTTCATTTTTCTACATGTGGTTACCCAGTTTTCCCAACACCATTTGTTGAAGAGACTGTCCTTTCCCAGGACATTTTCCCAGGTGTTCATTTTTTAAAAATTGAAGTATAGTTAATTTACAATGTTTTGTTAGTTTCAAGTGCACAGCAAAGTGATTCAGTTATACATACACATAATATATTCTTTTTCAGATTCTTTTCCATTATATGTTATTACAAGTTATTGCCTATAGTTTCCTGTGCTGTACAGTAGGTTCTTGTTGTTTACCTGTTTTATATATAGTAGTGTGTATATGTTAATCCCAAACTCCTAATATATCTCTCCCCACCCCTGCACCACTATCCCCTTTGGTAACCATAAGTTTGTTTTCTATGTCTGTGAGTCTGTGTCTGCTTTGTAAATAACTTTATTTGTATCCTTTTTTTTAGATTCCACATATAAGTGATATCATAGGATATTTGTCTTTCTCTGTCTGACTTACTTCACTTAATGTGATAATCTCGGGAATTCCCTGGCAGTCCAGTGGTTGGGACTTGGTGCTTTCACTGCTGGGGCCCGGGTTCAGACCCTGGTTGGGGAACTAATATCCCACAAGCAGTGCAGCGCAGCCAAAAATGAAAAAAAAAAAGAAATCTCTAGGGCCATTCATGTTGCTGCAAATGGCATTATTTCATTCACTTTTTTATGACTGAGTATTATTCCATTGTGTATATGTACCACATCTTTATCCATTCATCTGTTGATGTACATTTTGGTTGCTTCCATGACCTGGCTATTGTAAATAGTGCTGCAGTGAACATCAGGGTGCATGTGTCTTTTTGAATTATGATTTTTCTCTGGATATATGCCCAGGAATGAGATTGTAGGATCGTATTTTAATGCTATTTTTAGTTTTTAAAGGAAGCTCTATACAGTTCTCCAAAACGGTTGAACCAATTTACATTCCCACCAACAGTGTAGGAAGGTTCCCTTTTCTCCACAACCTCTCTAGCATTTATTATTTGTAGACTTTTTAATGACGGTCATTCTGACTGATATGAGGTGATACCTCATTGTAGTTCTCATTAGCATTTCTCTAATAATTAGTGATGTTGAGCATCTTTTCATGTGCCCATTGGCCATCTGTATGTCTTCTTTGGAGAAATGTCTGTTTAGGGTATTCTTTTTTTTTTTAATTTTTAAACAAATTTATTTATTTATTTATTTTTGGTTGCATTGGGTCTTCGTTGCTGCACGCAGGCTTTCTCTAGTTGTGGCGTGCAGGGGCTACTCTTTGTTGCAGTACGCGGGCTTCTTATTGCAGTGGCTTCTCTTGTTGCGGAGCACAGGCTCTAGGCACGTGGGCTCAGTAGTTGTGGCTCATGGGCTGTAGAGCACAGGCTCAGTAGTTGTGGCACACAGGCTTAGTTGCTTCATGGCATGTGGGATCTTCCCAGACCAGGGCTCGAACCCGTGTACCCTGCATTGGCAGGCGGGTTCTTAACCACTGCGCCACCGGGGAAGTCCCTGTTTAGGGTATTCTTGGCTCTCTTGTCAAATATTAGTTGAGTGTATACATGGCATTTTTAAATGAGCAAATACCATTGTATTCTGGGAGGAACACACTGGAGATTTCGAAGGTTATTAGTGATATTCCCTCCCTCCCTCCCTCCTTTCCTTCCTTCCTTCCTTTCTCATGGAAAATTTCTTACATATATAAAAATAGTATAGTATAATGAACCCCTGTGTATCCATCATCTACTTTCAGTAATTATCAAATCACGACAAATACTGCTTCATCCACACGCCTCATCCATTTCTCCCCCCAACCCTTCTCAAACTATTTTGAAGCATAATATTCATTTTCTTAAGTTGACTGATGGTAACATTTTGTTTCTTAACAAAAAAAAGGGGGGTGGTACACAGTTGTTCTTTTTATTATTATTCTTTAAACTGTATAGATATTTAAACTGTATATTTGTTTTGTAGTCATTTCTGCATGTATTTTGTTATAAAAACTTTAACTGCTCACTTTAAATCTTCATGAATACTTGAATTATCCTCCAAAGAGAATGTGCCATTTTATACTTCCACCTCCAGGGTATGAGATGCCCATCACCCCAGACTGTCACAGTGACAGATATTCTCAGACTTTTGGTACTTGG